TATCGCTGCTACATTGTCTTGGGGACTCAGTGAGGCAGCTGTTGCCATCATGAAGGAGTGCAGAATCGTACCTAGATATCAAAACATTGTTATCTGACTCGAAGGACCAAACAATTTAAAGCTTGTATAATTTTCATATTAAAATGTCAAATAGGACAAAGTACATAAACGTAACACTTACCCTTTCCCTCAGGCAGCATGGTATCTCTAACAGAGCTCTCAATAAATTCGAGGAATGTCATGATTTTGGCGAGACCTCCGTTCAATTCGATCTCTGGCTCGTCTCGAGCGTCGAAATTCAATGCAACCGCTACCGGTGTTCCTGAATCTGAAAATATTTTTAACTTATTTAAGTTACAGTCTCGTAACTTAAATACCTTGGATTTTAAGTTGTTCTTATCCTTTTCGCTGTATAAAATAAGACTGGTAAATCGTTTTTAACTTTTCGAGTAAAAATTCAATGATTAGCTTGCTTTTTTGTGGTCAATTACAAACACAATAAGTTGTTCCCAAGATGAAATCTAAGAACGGGCGCACACCTTTGACTAAACTGTCGCACGCGATTGTCGATTGTTTCGTAGCCAAATCAAGTGTTAAGTTGCATAACTAAAAATCGAGAAACCCCGTATAAGCTTATAGGAATCGAAGCTCCACTAAACTTTGGATTATGTTGCCAGTCCAGTCAAAGTAACATATACTCACGATCTTCTAGAACGACGCTGAGTCTGGCCTGCAGCAGAGCGTCCCAGCAAGCACGGATACAGTGCGCGTAGTCCTCAGTCGCAATCTCGTGCTTTAAGAACTGTTCTAACTCAGCCTTCTCGTAGAACGACGATACGATCATACTGGACAGTAAAAAATTAACCCTTCATAATTGAAAATTTACAAATGTTTTTGCTAGAATTCCTGTCAAACCTGTCTTCTGTTAGGTACGTCAAGTATATGACTACTTCACAATAGAGTGTAGGAATTTTGTGATAGGAGTACTTACTCGACAACTTGCTGTTCATGATCTTCAGCCATCGGCACTGCTTTGAACTTGTGGTCGTAACCGCCAGCCGCGTGCTCCGGACCGCAGCTCATGTGGGTCAGCACATCGCCAAGATTGGCTGCTCCCAGAAACTCACTTATCTCTGTGGAATAGATTTTTTTGGTATAATTTATGCTAAGTTTGATATCGAATTTACAAATTCTGTGTCAATGAAATTGTCTTGTTGGTTTAGTTCCGTAGTATATTTTTAATTAAATATATTACATACTGCTTATTCTGCATTAAAACTATTGAAATACTAAGATAATACATTCATTTCCAGTATCGCAATCTTACTAATAATAGGTACAAATGCAAAAGTTTAGATGGCTAGATGAATGAATGTTTGTTAGAGTTTTTAGCTTAAACGGCAACGGATCTTCATGAAATTTGGTATAGATGTATAGTCTGGAAGAATACCTAGGCTACATACTTTTGTTTTTTTTTAAATACCACGCAGACGGAGTCGCAGCTGAAAGCTAGTATTCCTATAAACACAATTAGGAAACCATGTAATATTGTAAATACTTACCAATATAGTATCCTTTGTCTCTCAGTCTAGTGATAGTATAAATAGAATTAAGTGAGTTCCCTCCCAGCGCGTAGAAGCCCGCCCTCACTGATAGCGTCCCTCTCGCCGCCCTCCCGAGCACCTCTCCCACCGTCTCAAAGAGGACCTTAGCTGCTTCTAAATTCTCAGCATCCACTCCACTGTAGTCAATGTCGAAAGATATCTCAGAGTCGTCTGTGAAAGTAAAAAATACTACTATACTTAAATGAATAGGCAACAATAATCGGAGATATAATAGAATAAAAAACGTTCACTGCGTAACAGGCCGATTTCGGCCTGATGCGGTACTTAAGCTGGTGCGGACGAAGAAAACTGTGTCCCTCTCGCTAGTGCGAAACGATTATCCCAAGTGTATACATTACTTTACATAAAATGTATACATTATGTTTTCATAAAGTTATAGCAATTTAATCTATCCTAGTGCTAGTGGGTCTAGATAGACCTGCCATGCACTGCCGGAAATATCACTGGGGGCATATTTTGGCCCGCCGCCGCACCAGATGAAGAATTGTGATTTTACTTGCCGCACTACTAACAATGCATTTTTATTCATCTCAATCTCTGTATACTTCTCTTTTACGCTTAATTATTTCTGTTGACTTAACTGAACAGTTTTGATTGTTAAGTTAAAACTAAGTGTCTATAGCAGGCGTAAGTGTACCTCTGGTAGGAAAACAAAATTTACATAAACGTCAAAGATACCTTACCATTATTGTTAGTGTTCTCGTACATCTTGAGTAGCGCTTGTCTGTCGACTTTGCCGTTCACCAATAAAGGGACACTCTCTATAACGATTACCTATAGAGTAAACATGAAAGAAAAGAACATTTAAAAAAATTCAAAAATCATTCAGGACAAGCAGTACTTATTTGGTTCTATTATTTTATATTGTAAGGTGGTAAAACAAGCGGCCATCTGATTTGGCCGAAAAACGCAACCATTGTCCATAGACAACCACAATTGCGTTGTCTAATCTGAATTGACGGAGGAAGGGATGCACATAAAAAGGGCATTTACCCTTCTTAGGCGTCTCCAGCATCAAATCCACTTTCCCTTCCCATCTTATCCTTATAAGCAAATGATAGGGAAAGATACTAAAATTAGGACAGATCTACTAGCGCCTTGGCCAAGATTTATATAGTCGACCTCTTTTTACAGACAGTGAGAGTACGCGCCTTTGAATAAACTATCGCACAACTGTTTAGTCTTGCTTTGTTTCCTATCATTTTTTATGAAGGTTTTATGAAGGCTACACGATTTTTAGTTGTGCAACTAAACAATTGAATTATCTGCGAAACAATCGACAATCGCACAACAGTTGTGCGTATTTTAGTCAATGATATGCGCCTTTCTCTATTCATGAATGAGTATAAACAAAGGATACCTGTGGTAACATATAATGTGTCAGGGACTTCTTGAGTGCTGTTTCTATGTGGTGCGCTGAGAGCCGCGCGCTTTGCTGCACAGTCACAAAGGCCAGCACTTCAGGATTGCCACGATCCAGGCCATAGCAGAGAACCACCGCTGGAAATGTGATTATTTAAATTATAGACACACTGGATGTACATTGCTAGAGGAATACATTTATACTTATATAAATAGGAAACATATGTGTTTTTTGTATGTATTGAAATAACACAAAAACTACTGGACGGATGTCAAAACTTCTTTCAAGATTGAAATGTTATCACTTAATAACTAGGTTCTTTACTATTTTAATTTCACGTAGATGAAGTCGCGAGCAACAGCTAAAGTATCACTTTAAACTTATTCAAATGTAATATGGAATTATAATTGTAAAATTGATTTATTTTCAGTTCTGCAAGTTTCCCAATTTCTACTGTAATAATTTTCTATAGTAAGAGCACACCTTTGACTAAACTATCGCACAACTGTGTAGTCGCGCTTTGATTTCTATGATCTTATTACTTATTACTTTATAGTTGTGCAACTAAACAGTCCAATTGGCTGCGAAATAATTGACAATCGCAGATACTTTAGCCAAAGGCGCGCCCGCTCTTAAGCTAAGTAGATGGATATAAAAAAAATTCTCATACCTTTCTCGACTCCCTCCACAGCAGCTACTGCAGTTTCAACTTCTAATAAATCTACTCTGTGACCTCGGATCTTGACTTGCGAGTCAGTTCTTCCCGCGTATAATACCATCCCCTTGTGTAGAACACCGAAGTCTCCAGTGCGGTATAGTTTTCCAAAATCTGTTAGGATATGTACTCGTTATATATTTATTATTGAACGTACTGTCAAATTATTATAACTGTTGGCTTATCCATACTAAATTTTGGAACATCGTAAAAAGGAAAGCTTTGTATTTTTGTATGTAATTGATTCACGAAAAAAACACCATTAGAAGGGTAATTTATCTCTGAGTAACATAGGCTATATTTTTTATTTTGATTTCACGCGGACGAAGTCGTGAGCAACAGTTACATATTAAAAAATAGTAAAAAAATATAGCCTATGTTACTCACCGTTCCCCGGTGAATGAGCATTTTAATGGTGAAAGAATTTTTGAAATTGACCCAGTAGTTTTTGAGTTTTTTCAATACATACAAAAATAGAAATCTTTCCTCTTTATAACATTACTTTAGATTTACATAAGAGAAATATTAGTTTGGTTATGGTAACCGTGGATTTAGACTTTCCAATTGTTACACCAATATTACGAAAATAATATTGCTATCTTTGTTTTTGTTAAATACACTGACCCCTGTCAGTGTATTTAACAAAAGCTATCCCTATAGCTATATTGTTTAGAACTTATCGTAGAATAATTCTGACAAATATTAACTATTCCAATTTAATCAATTGTATGAATACTTCAGTAAAAATGCTCATTTATTTTAACGGTAAAATATGACAGCCTTAGGTCATTTAATGCTTCAACTTCGTGTTTTGGTACCTGGATGTGAGGCGTGCGGGTTGTAACAGAATTTCTCCGGCGCCTGTCCGCCGACGTACCCTGCAGCTAGATTGCGACCCGCCACCCACACCTCGCCTGGCTCCGCCTCGCGTGCCGGATTCATTTCTTCATCTAGAAGATAGATGGCGCAGTTGTCGACCGGCTTCCCTAAATTCATTCATTTGTCAATAAATGGGTTCATTTAATCGTTTTTTATAAGTTTTAAGTTCATTCATTCTTCATCATCCTTTTGGTCGTTCAAACTTCCAGGAATTTTTTCGTTCATTGATTCGTTCGAAAAGACAAACAAAGGAAAAAGAACAAAAATAAGAATTATTGCATTCTTAAAGTAAGCGCACACATTTGACTAAACTGTGGTGCGATTGTTGATTATTTTGCAGCCAATTCAACTGTTTAGTTGCACAACTAAAAATCGATTAGTGTTACCTCCATATGACATCATAGGAATCGAAGCGAGAGTAAAAAGTTCTGCGATACTTTAGTCAAAGGTGTGCGCTCTTAGAGAAATCTGTATACTCACCGATCGGTATCGTAGGATGTACATCCAATTGTTCAGAACGTTCCAGAACATAGAATGTCACGTCGCCCATAACCTCGGTACTCCCGTAGAAGTTGGCCAGCTTGTAGCCTTCGTTATCACCGAAATATTGGAAGAATTGTCCCGCCAGTTCCTTGCCGAGAGTCTCACCAGAACAGACCCACAGTTTCAGGGATTGGAGTGGTCTTTCGGAGCGGTTTAAAGAGAGGTACATTAAAATAGACCGGAGTAACGTTGGCACTAATACCAAACGATGCACCTGAAATATTAAATATGTTAGTAAATTCAATATAAATGCATTTAAAAAGATTCTATTATTCTACAGTAATTTTACCGCTGCATTTAGAAATTATTTAATTATTTGACTTACCTCATTTTCCGCTAGGACCCGAACCAATTTCTGAGGATCTCGAGTCGTCTCTCTTGAGAGTATAAGTAAGGTCCTGCCGTGTAACAAAGGCCCCCAGATCTCACAAACAGAGTCGACGAAAGTTAGAGCTGTCTTCCAAACGCAGACGTTTTCTTTGTCCGTGTACGGGAAAGTACGGAATTGCCACCAGAGGCGGTTGCAGATCGCTGAATATGACAAACGCACTCCTGGAAAGAAAATTTATCTTTTATCTAACTAATATATAAATGCGAAAGTTTGTTTGAACAAATCTTTACTATATTTAACACAGAGATAGAGGGGTTCGGAAAACATTTTTTATTTGTATACGGATTATGTTGGCAACTTGAGACTTTGGACTTTGCTCATTTCATTGTTTACAATTATAATTTCATCTCGATTTAGTACATTTTTTATTAATAATAAAGTATCTTTATTACCTATCATAATGGATATTGTAATCAAAGAACATTAAAAAAAGTATAAATCCAATACCATTGTGCTTAATGCGGTTTAAGTTACAATCATTGACGGCCTTAAGCGATCACTTAAATGACTTAACTTCATGCAATCTCAAAAGTATTATAAATACAATTATGATTATTTCCAAGTACGCGGCAATTATTTTTAAATCAAAAAGATAGAAGTACGTTTTTTTAAATTACTTTGCCTACATCGAACAATACCTAATAATTATGTTTACAGCTAAAAATAATATCAGTAAGTATTTCTTGAAATCAAGATTCTGATTATTTTTATAACGTTTTCTTCGCTATTTTCTGTCTGTAAAAATATATGAAACAAACCTTTTGGTATTCCGGTACTTCCAGACGTGTAAAGAACAATCGCAATGCTCTCAGCAGTGGCTTGCAATAGTACCTCCGCTTCACTCGGCTTATCTCCTGGTAAGCCACTGGCTTCTAAAGAGAGCTCGTCGAATGATACCGCTGGTATACCACTACCAGAGAACATAGAGGGATTTGCTGAAAGAAATAACAAAATAAATAAAGCGCCTGAAGCAAACTCATATTTTTTAAATTAATATTTTAGCTATTCCAAAATACCAGGCGTTATCAAATTAAACATTAATCTAATTGTTATAAAGTAATTTAAAGATGTCTATTTGGAATGTCTACACAGTCTGTAAGTACACTTTACCTGTGTTATCATATATGACAAGAGAAGGCTCCGCGTCCTTTAAGATATGTGAAATTCTGCCTTGTGGGAAGCTCGGGTCCATCGGCACATACGCCGCACCCGCCTTCCATATCGCTAGCAGAGTCATTATCGTACTGAAAGATAGTACAAGAATTAAGTCAAATATAACGGAGAGAGTATTTTAACAGCCGAATACTGACACGAAATTTAAATATTTAACATAGTCGCTCCGCTTAACTTCATATTTCTTTCAAATTTTACCGTCTTTCAAATTGTAAGCGATTACGAGATTGTGTAATTGTGATTCGTTTCAGTATTGGTCTGTAAGGAAAGTATAGACTTCTTAAAAGAAAGTACCAAAAAGACTAAGCAATACTCACTTATGTGTTGGCTCCATGCACACAGCTATCACATAGTCCCCGTCCCTGTTAGGTCCGATGGGGCGAGCGTGGGCGGCGATGGCTCTGCCCAGCGCGTTTGTCCGCGCCTGCAGTTCCGCGTAGCTCACACGTACGCAACTCGTCTCATCTGATTGATAGATTTCATTAGTCATTAATGAGGCTTTTAGATTCTTAAGGCCGATAAAGACAGCTTAACACAGCTTTAAACTACTGCTCTGGTCGACATACTACTGGCAGAACTCTGCTTGATCGTATTCGTGTACGGAAGACCTTAGATTATCCACGTAGATTAAGGCTCTAAGGATAATCCTGACTATAAAATATTTATAGTAATATTAAGTCTTTAAAGACAGGCCATATTAGAGGACAATAATGCCCCAATACAAATCGAGCATTTAAATAAAGTTCAGTTTTAGAGCAACTTTAACTTTAAAGACAGACTTAACACTGGTCACTCGAAAGTCCTCTGAAAGTTTGTGTTAGTATTTATTTAGTCATTGTTACTATATTATTTAACATAAATGTGAAAATCTGCTTTGTTTATGTAACTAAAGTGAGTTTTCCAACTTCGACACATGATAGGCAACTGTCTAAATGATAATTGTCTATTCACTTAAAGAATATACAAGTATTAACTAATAGAATAAGAATTGAATTTGTTAATAAATAAGGTCTCCTAGCTCTGAAGGCTCAATACAATTTGTAGCAATACAAATGCTGGGCGTCTAGTATTTATTTCTTTTAAAAATTCACTACATTTTATAACCTCCATTATATCCTTCTAGGCTGATAATAATTTATTTCAATAACATATATCTACGTCATCTTTGTACAAATGTGGAGGAAGACCGAAAAATGGATGGATTGTGTGGGAGCGAGTGGATTCAGATATGGCTGATAGAAATGTATTGAGGAGCAAAAGACTGTTCCCCGTAGGGACAAGGACAAGTTAATGTATGTACGTCACCTTTGTAAACTAAAGCGGTGGCATCTCTAGCTGTGAGATTGTCCATCATATTTGTTAGAGGTCCGGCCGGTGTCGACACCTTCTGCCCGGTGACCACAGAAACGCGCGGCAGTGATCCCATTGTGCCTGTAATTGAATCATAAATTAAATCTAAAATATTGGAAAACATGAAGTTTGTGTTGATATAAAACTGATTTTAATTCAACAATTATAAGTAACTAGCTGTTATTTTTAATATTATGATGTAATGATGAAATCTGTCAAATTAAAATGCCAGTCAGTTCAACTATACAATATGATTAACCTAGTAGGCTATGGTGCGTGATTGTAAAAATAAAATAGTTTACTAGTCCGCGCGGAATAAATAAAAACAAAAGCAAATTGCCTATGTATTCTTCCAGACTATCCTCTACATCTTTGCCAAATTTCATCGAGATCCCATCAGCCGTTTAGGCTAGAAACTCTTACAAACATTGATCCATCTAAACTTTCGCAATTATATTGAGTAAGATTTCTTTTATAAATTGCGATATTGAATTTTATAGGTAAATTATTCGCGTAATAACAGCACACACTTTTGGTATTTTGGCGAATTTCATTAATCGAGTTCCCATTATCTTAATTTAAATATACCTCAGATTAATTTAACCACGGCGAAACTATTATGTTTGTATACGAAAATATTTTAAAATCCCTACATTATTATACTGTAGTAAAGCTGTAGATATTCTAACCTAACCTAACAATGAAATATTGCACAATTAACATTTTAACGTCTTCGTTTACATAAATAACTAAGCAAACATAATCCAACAAAGTGGTATACTAATGAATGAACAATTATTTACCGGTTTTTCAATTATAATCTTCAAGTGAATCAATAAAATACTTAAGTTTATGTCAGGGTACTTATACTGCCTTATAATAAACTTACTTATTAACTAATAATTAATATCTTTACATATATATTGGAGTGTCGGTTTGTAATTTCAAAAGAAAAATTCCAGATTTCGGGAAGCTGATGTTTTTGCCTTGCTAACGGAAATTGCATTTAAAGTTTTCTGTCTACCCGCAAACCGCGTTTGTTCCGGATGATCTCCGAAACGGCTAGGCCTATTTCGACCGGACTTTCACTGAAGGGTTGTTGACACAGATTTTAATATTGCGATGTCGCTGTCGCGGGCAACAAATAATCTATGCTATTATAATAAAGCGTAAATACACACTTCTTTGCTGCCTAAGATGTCAGCGATCACAGTATATTTTGAATAATTCTTTCTTTTAAAAAAAGCCCTACACTCACGTCACGGAACGGGACCATAAGCTACAAGTTGCCAACATCAAGGATTAAGATTGCCATGGTTTGTTATGAAGTCATGTCATATGGACATTTGCAATTGATAATTTGAATAATGTTAAGAAGATTTTTTTTTAATTCATGCAGATGAAGCCGCACAGGAACAGCTAGTATGTAAGTTTATTACCTAACTAAATACGTGCCCAAAGGACAGTCAACAGTGGAGTTTAGATTGAAAATTAAAAAAACCACTATAGCACTTTTGTTACCTATGGCCAAGATCGGTTTACCCTATACAAGTGCGTATGCATTTTTTATTATAATTGTAATAGATGGTTTTACCACACAATTGCATTCCATATTCATCATCTAGTATGTAATTATACATACGCTAATAGAATGTGCATAAAAACAATGATGCAGCTGCCGCGTTTCTTGCATCAGACAATTTTTATTTATGTTTATTATATTCTA